TTGTTCAGAGTAGATTTAGATACCCCAGCGAGTGCTTTTCAAAAAGTAAATGAAGGCTGCCTGCTGATACCTTCATCTTCAAATACTTTAAGTCAGAACACATCAAATAAATTCACCTACTGGTCTCTGCCATTTTGCACCTGGGGAGATAAAAGACATGCTGAGCCTCTTTAACCCCCTCTGAATAAAAACAGATTTTGATTTTAGGTAATTAACTCAGTAGAGTGATGAAGTTTCATCATTAAACCTAAAGTGTGTAATTATCATTTTGTCATTAGTATTTCTTAGCACCTGGGACAATCAAGCAGTAAATCATTACCAAGGCAACAGGATGTTATTTTTATCATTCATTTTCACATATTAAATTGCATTATTGGTTTAACTGAAGAAACGGTAACTTTACTGCTAAATGATTACAATCAAAATGCAAATGGGTGTGTTATGAATCACCATATATATTTGTTTTAACATTGTTTTAAAAGTTATTTGCTGGGCTAATGTCTGATAAAATGCAACTTGTTTTGGGTGAAAAATGCCTTTGACAGGAGTAGCGATGATACATTACTGCTTGTTGCAGCCATGATGTATAAAAATTATAAGAAATCAGGGCAGTTTTAAATGGTAAGATTGATGATCTAGAAAGTAACATTATTAGGCAAAATAAAATCATTCTTTGCATAACTGCAGGTATTTAGTTATGCTTTAATACTAGAATGTCATTAATTTAAATAAATATTAAATCAATACTTGTGAAGTCAGTTCAGGAAACTCTAATGAGCTTGCATTATACACTGGTATGTTAACTGGTATTTGGATACATTATTTTCTCTGCAAACTATAATACAGCTTGCTGTCAAGAGGTGCTTGCACATTCTTATTATATTTAATGCTAACGCAAGTAATTATTTACAGTTGTCGGTTTTTGGCATTGTCAGTCCTGCTGCTGGTCCCTTTCTTGGTTCTTAGTCTCGGTACATGGCGTTGTGGGTTAGCGCAGGAGTAGACACAATAGCTGTTGTTTTGCAGTTCCAGCTCCAGTGACTGCTCTGAAGGCCCAAAACAAGAACAGGACAGACAGCCTGTCATTCACCTGGGAGAAGGCCGCAGGAGACCTCTCTGGCTACGAGGTGTCTCTGTACAATCCCGACGGCTCCCTGAAAGCCACACTGCCGGGGAGGGCCGACCTGCGAGAGTGCCTCTTCCAGGGGCTCGTCCCAGGGAGGCTGTACAGGGTCACCGTGGCAACCAAGAGTGGAGACCTCTCCAACACAGCCACCGCTGAGGGCAGGACAGGTAGGGGCCATTCACGTATTTTAACTGGCTGTTTATACAACGTTTATGTCCACCGCTAGAAATACACATTCTCAAGTCTATCCGCTTTTCTTTATATGGGTTTACCCCCCAAAAGCAGCTAAACAGAGCTCCTGCATAGGAAAAGACCGTAGAGCCAGACCATCTAAATTAGACAAATGTAGCAGATGGAAATGCCATTTTGGTGCCTTTCTCTTTGGATATATTTTATTGACTAGAACATTGCACTGCCAATAAATTAATATTATATTTCTGTGACCTCGGTATCGATGCTGTACAGTAATTTTATAAAATAACAGGAATTCTTTTCATGTGCCTGTGTGACAGCCCCACAGCCACCCACCTCTGTGGCGTTTGGCAGCATCACCAACACGTCCCTTGAAATCACCTGGACAGCCCCGGCTGTCACGGACTACGATGACTTTGACCTGCAGTGGGTGCCCCGGGACCCCCTCTCGGTGATCAACCCCTACCACCACGGACAGTCGGGGACCCGGATACTGAAGGAGTTATACCCAGGCCGCCTGTACAGCTTCAGTGTGCGCACAGTCAGTGGCAACAGAAGCAACCTGAAGGCCTACAGCCAGCCCATCTACACAACCATCAGAACAAGTATGTTGTGCTTTAGTGTGTGAGTTTTTCTCAGGAGACCTGCTCAGCTCAGTAAAGAGTGCGGGAGATTTAAGGAGGAGTTTTATTTTTTAAACAAGAGACTTTGTCAGGCATTACTCTTTATCTACAGTAAGTAGATGACGTTTTGCTAGCCTTGACCATGAAGAATGCTTATGAAACTTGTATCAAATAAATCTATTTACTGTAGATTCTGATATACACTATTCACAGTAGTAAACCGTAACTTCAAAACTATAAAACGTTTAAGTAGTGAAATTCACCACTAGTAAGAATAGGAGGAATAGCAAACAGTGTTAGAAGTTGGCAGAAAAATTCAAAAAACCCTAGCAGATGACATTTAAAGTGCAAAGACAAATGCAAAGGGGTCAAATAGCCAACTCTCATTTCTAGTTTATATGGTCTTATGTAATTAATTTTACAGAACGATGAGATGCATGAACAGATGACGTAACTGAGATAAACAGCACTTGTGTTTTTATTGTTTTATTTTTTGACAAAAGTCATCCAGTTTTGCCCAGAACTTGGCACATGTCAGCCACCAGAGGGCAGCACATGATCGAAAGAGCAGCAAGAGGAGTCGGGGAGGTTTAGGGAAGCAAGGGGCCGGGGGTCGGTGATTCAGAGTCCTAGAAATTCCAGAGAAATGCATGAAAGAAGTATGTCAGTATGAAGAATGCCATGAAGTATTGCCAGGGCCAATTTAATGAACTAAAAAATGACATTGACAAGATTTTTCCATAGGTTTGCTTTCAAACACTTTAAACTACACTGAAAAAATAAATCGAACCCAAGTGTAATAGCTAACAAAATCCACATATATGATTTTTGAGGTGAAAAACTCTTAACTCAAAGGAAATAAGTGACTTCAAATGCCCAAAGATAAAAACTCGCTTTCCCGCTTTGGCAGTTTCACCTTTAACATTAAATCTAGCCTGTGCAATGCACTAAGCACCAAAATAAACAAATCACTTTATTTATTTTAGACTGATGAAGTGCATGGCGTTTTTGATGTTGATCAAACGTTTTTAGCATCATTTTGATTCATTCTGATAAGCTCATTAGTGAGAGACGTGACTGGGCACAGGTGACGAAGGTGACGAAGCGATTGAACCTGTTGAACGTAAAGAGACCTTTCCTTGATGCCACTGGTATGCTGGAGGCTTGATTAAGCCAGCATGCTTTCCTACCTGGCAAGCTGTTATAGCCAGATCTGGTCTGTCAATGATAGGACACAATCTGTCACAGCGCCAGTCAGTATTGTCATCGTCATAATACTGCATCTTTACGATTATATCCGCAATGCCCTTTCCGCTGCATCATTGGGCGGAGCGGTGGCACTGTGGATAACGATCTACACTTGTGGCTGGAAGGTTGCTAGTTCAAATCCCACAACCGGCAGAGGAATCCTACTCTGTTAGGCCCCTCAGCAAGGCCCTTAACCCCAACTGCTCCACAGGTGCCGTATAAATGGCTGACCCTGCACTCTGACCCCAAGCTTCTCTCTCCCCGTCTGTGTGCCTATGTGTCTCATGGAGAGCAAGCTGGGGGTATGCAAAAAGACAAATTCCTAACACAAGAAATTGTATATGGCTAATAAAGGAATCTGATCAGAGACGCCAGGTCACAAACGATGGCAGCCTGACTGCATGGCCCTACCTTAATCAAGGCCTCGGACCTCACTCGCTGTCCTTTCTGTGCCATTATCCTAACGTCACAACAACATCCTAGCTTGACAACTCACGTCTTCATGTCACTTGTGTAACAGTGGCTGACTTCTTGGGAGAAGTGAATAGGACTGTCATCCACACCTTGGATAGGCTACGGGCCAGTTCCGAGACTGGCAGCAACCTCTAGCCTTTCCTCAAAACAAAGGCCACATCCTGGGTGGGTTGCCAGTCTATCATTATCATTTACAGCATTCCAGTTTCAACATTTCCATTGTGGATAGAGCAGGAAACCATATTAAAATTTTTGTGAATCTGCTTAGACCTCTGATTCGCGCTGGTAGAATTTGAGTCTCACTACAGTTTCCATCTGTTTGTAATTTTTTTGTTCTAGCGGAATCTGCTGGTATTCGTAATCAGCCTCTCACTGTGATTAAAAGTGGCACTAACCTAGGCTTCTTGCAGAGTGCATTACTAAAAACACGGTGATGCTAAATTCTTGTACTTCTATTGTATTATCCATGCAAAGATCTGTGGTATAATTTGCAGTGCAGGAATTCTGAAGAGATTTTTTGAGGAAGCAACTTCATCTAGTGAAGCTTTTGTTGTAAATGTTCGCGAATTCAACTTCATACGTGTGCTTGAATGTTGTTTTTGTAAGGTTAATGTCTTTTCTGGCTCTGCTTATCTTGTAGTTGATTATGATATGCTTTAATTACAGTACAATGCATTTCTTTAGACATAAATACATGAAACGTAAAATTCAGAGCCTTTATAATGACTTTCTTTAAACACTAAGTGGATGCATCGTGCTGGTTCTCACACTAACCCTATGATGTGCAGCTACAGTACTTCTTTTCTTTATTTTTTGTTGTTGTTTCTTAAATATGTCTGCAAAACAGTGTGCCTTATGTCTGTGCCATACAGTATAGACCCAACAAGGCTGTTTTAACAGCACTTAAAATTAAAGATATTGTAAATATTTTTCTCTAATTGATGATGACAGTTCTTACTTGGTAATATGGGTAGTTGTTTACTGTTCATGACTCGGCTGTACAACACATACTGTATGATGAGTTGTGATTAAAGTATTACACAAATGTTATCTGAGATCATCTTGTGAAATGATACCCAGTCAGGTTGAATGTGTGTTCTCTGCTATACAGTATATCAAGTGCCAACAAGTAAAAACCTTGCAGAAAATCTTTCTTCAGTGCATTTCTTCACTAATAGCCACTATAAATGAAGGAGTTTTTTCGTAGGTTGAGCACAGAATAATGGGGGGATAAACCAACATGCAAAAAGTGGTTCAATGTAAATAATCAGACTAATAATTTGTCATAGAACTATGTACTAGTAACCTGTTATAAAGAATATTATCATTTCATTTTCCTCAGGATGGTTTGCAGACAAGTGATTTTTCCCCAAATCCTGCTTAACTTTGTCATAAGCTTAATATTCTGGGTATTTAACTAGACAACATGTCCATGCTGACTCTTATATATCAGTGTACACTATGTTCATGCTCAGCTCATCCTCTTACTGTGGTTCCTCACTGAAGCTCTTTCAGTCTTGACCTATTCAGTAGATCATTGCCTTCCTCCCTGGGATACTACAGATGGGCACTTGCGGTCAGCATACTGTATGTGTGAAAACCAATTTTCCTGGAATATGCAGTCCAAGAGTATAAAAGGGCACATTCTGTCATTTGCAGCAAAATGTGCAATTTGGTAATTTTAAAATCTCAGGAGTTGAACTTTCTGTTTCTAAGAACTTAATTTGCAACAAGTAACATGAAGTTTAGAATACGAAAAGGAAGATGTGAGCCAAATGGAAACTTACAGGAGGTATTCTGTACTGTAATCTTGCACTGGAACTGTGGCTTTTATTTAGTAAAAATGATTTATTTCATTTGTTTGATGTATGCAGTTAATATTCAATTGGAGGTTATTTTGAAGGAGGTCTTAAATATTTTCAGACTGTTTATCATGCAGTATAAATACTATGGATGATCATTCTTTGTTCTCAAAATGTTGTTTGCATGGGCATTTTTTTTATTACAACCTGATACTGGGAGAGGTTTCTGCTACACTGTGCTGAACACATTCCCTTTTAGCAATCATTTCACAGAAATCGATCTTGATAGGACTCTGCAGCCAGCCTTTTCCTTTTGTATGTCACTTAGTATTGATCATAAGTCTGCTTCTGATTTAACATTAATTACTTATGGTCTTGCTTATTGTATATAACCCTTTGAGCAACAGACGTACTGTTGGGGTTCTGAGATTCTTGCATTTTCACTTCGAAACTCAAACTGTTCCCACTGCTGCTTTTCATTTGCAGGCATCAGGTGTCAGACATGAATATAAAACGTCACCCACTGTCTTTTAGAATAAAAATTACAGGAGTATTAGGACACGGAGTCATTTGAAACTCTGTAACTTTTAAACATGTCACACAATTCAAATTATGTACAAAAGCTGTCCAAATTCATGGATTCATGTAGCCCTTCAGGTATCCCCTGCATTGATGGTTCTGTCCAACTCTGTTTTCAGAGCCTGAAAGAATTCAGCACCTCCACTGTCGGCCTCAGAATTCAACAGCCATCTCCTGTTCCTGGAGCCCCCCGGCCTCTGACTACGACAGCTACACCATCGAATGCTACCACCAGGACCCCCGGCACTTGGTGTACTCCCAGCGTACGGGCAAGGACACACAGCTCTACAGCATCGTCAAGCTGGAGCCCCACAAGCGCTACAGTGTCTCCGTCAAAGTCATCTCGGACACCATGACCAGCGAGGCGGCCGAGGACAGCGTGATCACCATGATCGACCGTGAGTAGAGAGGAGAAGAGATCCTGAAAACAAAAATGTACTTCCACTTCAGCTCTTTGAAAAGAGACCTTGTCTCTTTTAAATCACGCACACTGGGCAAAGGCGAAGTTCCTGAAACCTGCTTAGGCACCGAAGCACAAAACACTTAGAGAACAGGCTAGGAACTGTGGGAAAGAGCATGACGTAAGCATTGGTATATTGAGTACACATTGTATAAAGAGGGTATATACAGTAATGGGTATAATAATTACACATTATATTAAGAGAGTACATTGTGGGTACTGTATATTAGATACACATTATATTCAGAGGCTATATGGTGGGTATATTAAGTACACATTGTATTAAGAGGGTATGTGGTGGGCATATGAACTACACATTATCTTAAGTGGATTTATAGTGAGTATACTAAGTACAGGAAGTTATATAGTGGGCACACTTGGCAATTGTACACTATAGTAGTTCAAATAGGTAGCTGCATCAGCATGCATAGGCTGCAAAGTAACAAGTAAAGGTTTATTTCATGCTTAAAAGAGAAGAAAAGAAACACAATGTTTCAGCTGTGGAGCCTTTTTCGGGTGTAAGATTCCACAGCCGAAAGGTTGCGTTTGTTTTCTTCTCTTTTCAGCATGGAATAAACCTTTCCTTGTTCTTTTGCATGTGTACTTCATATAACTCTGCCTTAGTATGAATATCTTCTGTGCTGCAGTGGTCTGGTTTTGCAGGCTTTTGTGACCCATCTGTCAGAGCCTCCAATATACGGTATTTTGTGAACCAAATTCTGAGAAAGTATATTGTAACGCAACGGGGGCTCAGGCGGGCGCCCTTGCCGCATCTGCTCGGCCCCATCCCGACTGGAGGCTCGAACCCGGGACTTCCGCGTCTCTCTGCAGCAACCCAGCCCCGTGAGCTAAAGAGAGATCTCTCCACAGCCCAGTAGCTGTGGTCCTGCTATCACAGGGAAGGGCGGTGACGTCACCCGCTCTGGTACGCCGGCTCTTACACAGTGCCTGTCGGCCGCAAGCGTTACACTCTGGGGGCTCGCTGTGGTCCTGCTATCACAGGGAAGGGCGGTGACGTCACCCGCTCTGGTACGCCGGCTCTTACACAGTGCCTGTCAGCCGTAAGCGTCACAATATTTTAAAGATCTAAGTTCAGTAAATGGCACATAGAAAGCTTCAAGGCGGAAGCCCAGTGAAGTGTTAATAAAACACAGCAATTGAAAATAAATAAAAGGATAGCGTCTAATTGTAAAGGAATTATAGCCAGAAAAATTAAATATACAGTAGTATAGCTTTTCATATAAACACTGTTCTGCTCTGTACTGCCTGACTAATGTGCCTGACTGGCTGACTTTATAATTGCACCTTTTATATTGAAAATAAATTTCCTTTCGTATTATTTCTTTAGTCCCAATCCTATTAGCTGGAGTATTCCACTTTGTGGAAACAGTCCCTTGCAGTGTGTCCTGCTTCTTGCAAAACCTGGAGGTCAAGACATTTTTGAATAAAACAATTAGAATAAGTGTTATAGAGCAATGCTGTGATTGGCTGTAGGCCTACAAGGATAGAAGTAATGATTTTAATAACCCCCAGTATTTCTGAAATGGGTAGCAATTATGGCCATTGATAAATATTTTCTGTAAGGTGGCTGTGCTGTGCAGACAAATGGGACATACCCAAGCTCCACGTTATTGCAGACCATTTGTCTAATCATAGCAGGTTGCTGAGTTGCTTTCCCAGTGTGTCTGACCCTGATTGATTTTCTGTTTGTATGTCTTAATAGTCAATCTACAGATTAGTTATTTTTATTAATTGACGGACAAAATCAATGGGAAAGACTTGCTCAGAAAATATGATGGGTTTCATTCATCGCAGCCGGGTTCTGTATTTGAGTCTTTCATTGTTTGTCTTTATTGATAAGTCATAAAAAATCAAAGTGAGCTAAAAGAGCACCCAGTAGTATCTTAACCAGGAGTCCCTGTAACCCTTTGCACTGTAACTAAAGCTTTGCAGTGCCTTGGTATCAGAAAACCCATGTTAGCATTTGAGTTTTTCTTTAGTAAACACAATCCCCAGAACCTGCATTTTTTTCCAGGATTCCGTTCACAAATCTGCAATAAAAGTTATTCCCCAGAAGTTCCCGCTTTCAAGTATTTGACCGTAGCTTAGTATTCTAGTTCTGTCACTGTGATTTATTTGAAGATATCTGTAAAGAGAAGAAAATAGATCACCCAAAATAAAATACCATTTTAAGGTGTGTGGTTTTTTTTTTCTCCCCCTTCATTAAATTTTTCAGGGCAAAGCAAATGAGGCAGCCCATGTGTGGTGCCCTGTGATATGCGGTGACAGGGCGGCAGCCAGAGATTTGCATCAATTTTACTTGTACTCGAGTGCACTGAACACAGTTAAAGGCGAGACCAGTTTTTTCGATTAGGTGTCGTGCAGGTTATTTCACAAACCTCCTTCTGGTCGAAAGAATGCTAAAGAAGCTTAGGCGAAAAGGTCGAGTTAAATAGAGTTTTTTACAAAGTTAAGACAGCGGCCCGTGTTTGGGGGGAGGGGTGTTTGGGGAAGGGTCTCCAAGGCTCTGGCAGTGTGCTGCTTGTGCGCTGCAAGCTCGTTATGTAAGAGTGCAGGCTCAGTCACTGCCAACAGGGCGGCCCTGTGAATGAACAGCAGCCTCCCCCTGGACCTGCTTCACATAAATCCATTTAAATAAAGAAAACCAAAAATAGCACCTGCTGCCAGCAGGGCGGAGGGAGGGGTGGTGACTACAGGATTGCGTCGGAGAAGTGAGATTTGCAAGATCACTGAAAACGTCAGGGCTCGCGAATCGGCTGCGCAGTTCTGCCAGAGCAGAATCAAATGCTACAGATTTGTCAAAGCGTTTCTCTGAAAAAAAAATGAACAGTACCGTCAATCGCAGCTGTGTCGTGTGCACTACTCTAGTATTCCTCACTTCGGTGGGTTCTTGTACCGTAGCAGTCTGTTGCCCAGATGAGACTGGTACAGCATGAGAAACAAAACCAAGACAGCAGTTTCTTTTGGATGAGCTGTTTATATCCAGGCTGTTTGTTCACTGGAATCAAATTTGGGCTTTGGTAATGTAAAAGACGCTGTTTTTTGAATGAAAGTTGAGGCCATGGGTGCAGAAATATCTGCAATAAACAACTGGAGGAGAATAGTCAGACATCTGCCATAATGAAGCAGTATTCCCTAGCTGAACTGGAGCAGGGCAGAGAAACTCTGTCCTTGTTAAACATGTATGATTTTATAGTGTACAAAAAATAACCCACAGTGAGCATGTAATTTCCTGCTTATCCTGTTATGTGGTAGATTTTAGTCATTTCAGAGGATGGGTCTACGCTTTTGCTAAGTTAAACTACAAATATATGTCAGCTCTTAATCCTTTTGCCTCTACAGTATATGGATAAAAACCTGTTATATTGAAAAACATAAAATGTGACAAAAACATTTTCTGATGCTTTTGTATTCAGGTTTGTTTACAGAAAGATCACAGAAAGTGCTATTTTGCCTGAAAGGTCACTCACTGTAGAAATCTGTTTTCATTGCAGTGCAGTTTTAAATATTTATGTCGAGCACAGTTTGACTTCTAGTAATGAAATGGTTGTCCCATGTGAAATGTTTTTAGCATACTGTAAATGAGGGAAGACTTTTTAAACTTAAAATATTTGACACAATTGAGTGTTTATTTCATAGGGAAAGCTTCCTCAATCGAAACCCGTCCTTAAAACTGAACGCATTCCAGCCAGCAAATTTATTTTTGTTTGATTTTTCAAAGCTAAATACTACTGTACATAGCTCTTACTGTCATAAGGTTTGCATTTATGTGTTGAAATTAGCAGCACAGCTTTGACTGAGTGGAACTGATCACCTGGGGCTCTTTACTGTGCAAGTGAGGTTTTCCTCTTATTCCGCCTATTTACAATACTCCCTTTATTAACGCAGACACCTCTTGCCTCGTGCAGATAAAAAGAGCTCTGCTTTTTTCTGGGATTTTCATATAGCACATGGTATTATTTTTTCAGCTAGATATGAATTCAGATGTAACCTACTTTCTTCAATGAAATATTAACTGTGAATTGTCTTCCAGTCAGTGTTGAGCAGTTAGACTTGCCTGAGCTACAGTGTAGACAGACAAGCCCCAGATCTGTTTTGAAAAGCAGCACAGCGCTTCTTACAAGCATCTAGATGTCAGTTCTGGGTCGCTTGACCTGCAACAGTCAGCCAACACTGGGTGGGGGATTTCGAATGACTCTGAACCGTGATCGCTCCCTGTTGTGTTTCCCTCTCAGGCCCGCCACTGCCGAGCCTTCACACACGGGTGAACGAGAAGTCGGCTCAGATCACCAAGTCCACCATCTTCTTCGGGTTCAACTGCAGCTGGTTCAGCGATGTCAACGGGGCGGTGAAGTACTTCACCGTGATCGTGGCTGAGTCAGACAGTGAGCTTGTTTCCGAGTTCCTTTGGTTCAACATATCATTTTATTCTGTCAGGGCTGTGTTTTGTGCGACACAGTGTTGCGGTGTGTCACTGCATTACTGCAGCCAGTGCAAATACGGTTTCAGGTGCCTCTGCCAAGGCAACCGAATTTAATTGAATTTGAATTTACTCAAACTCAGTACGGCCTCTCGAGTGTGTCCATACTGTACGGTAGATGTTCAAAACAAACCTTTCTGCACACAACTGCAAGAAATTCAATATATGGACAGTAGGAGTTCACACCTCTTGTGAAAATGAATTGCCATCAAAACAAATTTTCTTTCCTCAGAATTAGTGTAAAATTAAAACGTTATAATGGTGGTCTTTTTTATTCAGTCATGTAAAGTAAAAAAAAACAGTCTCATTTTAGTCTCTATAATGAAAAAAGTCAAATGGATTTGTCAGCTGATTTATTTAATGAACCTGGTTAATGGACTTTGTCTCTAACCCCACCCACCTCCTTAAGTCTGTGGATATCAGTATTTCCTCAGGCAAATCAACTAAATGCAGGAATATTAGAGAACTAATGATGTTTGAGTCAGTACTGTATACAGAAATATATACAAGGCAGTTTAATTTCTTGGCCTGCGATTAATTCCTACTGCCTATGAATGCATTACTTTCATAAAATTACTGTCTGTGACTGGATGAATTTTGTCCTCTTAAATTAACCTCAGTAAGATATTTTGTAAGGTTTTTGCTGGATAACTAATGGCCAAACATTTCTCCTTTCCCTCATTGTGTCTGCTTTAGGCAGTGAAAACTCACAGCCTGAACTGCAACACCCACTCCCATCATACATGGACTATAAATTCAACAGTTCCATCAAAGCCTACCAGACCAATTACTTTCCCAGTCGGTGTGCTGAGAACCCTGACAACAGCGTTCAAAGCTTTGAGATCAACCTGGGCACAGGGATGGAGAGTCTGGGAGGGAAGTGTGAGCCGTTTCAGACGAGATTCTGTGATGGGCCGCTGAAATCGAAAACTGCCTACAGGTGCCAATGATCTCACTGCTTCTGCTCTGCAGAACATATTTTCCATGGGAAAAGTGTTTGATTTCATTGCATTATATGTCGTGTTATTTATATTCATACTGAAGATTGCATGCAAAATTACAGCATAGGAAGCTTTCGGTTTTTAAAGCACCCATGATACAGTATGTGCCTCTAGGCATTATTATTTTTTTAACTCGGCAGTAATATAATCACATCCACCCCATCCTGTCATTTACCCCTATTCTTTTAAAGACCTTTTATCCCAAAATGAAATTCATAGAAATACTGATTAATATAAGGAAGTCCTTCCAGTCCTGAAATTCTCATTTTTGAATGGGATGTCTCTAAAGATGAATTTTTACAGCAGTTTAATGCAGGATTTCATTTTGCTAGGATCAGCATCCGAGCTTTCACTCAGCTCTCTGATGAAGATCAGAAGGAGTTCATCCAGCCGCTCTTTACAGACACCTATTTGTCTCTGCCCTTAATGACGGAGGCAGGTAAGCATGCTGTCAGCATCCCTATTAAACCTTTTCTTCATCCTGATAGGCTCCTCAGTGACCTTAAAGTTCCAGTGTGAACTTGAATTTCCCAGCTTTGAACAAAGCAGTAAAAAGATTTTAAAAAGCTGTCAAAATTACTCTGCAGTGTAATAATAGCACTATTCTAAAATTAACAGTGTAATACTGCAGAAGCTGAAAACGTTCAAGTCAAGACTTCTGTCAAAAGACGTCTTTCTGATGTTCTTTAGTTTTTTGTTGTTGCAGAACACACAAACATAATCAAAACATTGTCTCTTTCTCTTGAATGCCTAATAGGAAACAGTGCTAGCGTGTTCCTGATTGCATTTTCTCCCTCCTATTCCACTAGAACCCCTAACAGGAGTCATTGAAGGAATCAGTGCTGGCATGTTTCTTATCGCTGTGCTGATTGGGGTCGCTGCTCTGCTGATCTGTCGTCAAAAGGTCCGGAAAGCGTAAGTGTGGTTTGCCAGCTTGGGTGAGATGCATTAAATGTTTTTTGCATTAAAATGCATTAAATTTTTAATTTGTTTGAACATTTTTAACATTCTAAACATTCACCTGTCCATCCATCCATTTCTAACTGCTTTACCTAATACAGAGTTGGAGGGCAGAAACTGTGAGCGCAGAGTGGCACATATTTTGGACAGGATGCCAGTCCCTCACAGGGCACACACAGACACACCCACACACACCTGGGCAAATTTTCCCACAAGCCAGTTAGCCTACCAGTATGTCTCTGGACTATGGGGGAGACCAGAGCGCCTGGAGGAAACCCATGTGACACAGGGAGAACATACAAACTCCACACAGACAGCACCCCAGGAATTGAACCTAATGCCCCAGAGCTGCAAGACAGCAATGCTAACCACCCTACATTTTAAACATGTTAGTTAATTGATTTTGTGTTATGCTAATATTCTTTCAGTTTTGGAATTATTTCCTAGGAAATAAGGAAGGGAGGTTATGATTTGTGAGCATTAGTTGAGTGATTAGTCAAACTGTGGATTTCTTTATACTGTAATTGTCGCAGTCTTAAATAGTACATCTTATACATTAAATTTGACGAAAGTACTGTATACGCACAGACAAAATGAATGGTAGTCTAAGAAATTAAAACCAAAACATTTGATTTTAAGTGTGAACTTATTTTTATTAATATTAAAAGACAAGACAATTTCAAGTCACAGGTCCTCATTCCTCTAGCCTGGTTAGCCACTGCGTTTGGTTACAGTAGTGAAAAAAGTAGTTTTTATTTTAGGATGCCCCCCCGTAGAGCTGCTTGGGAAATAACAATACATGGTGAATACAGGATATTTAAAAAATTAAATTTCCCCTCAGAATCTACACATGTAATCTTTTATCATGAGCATACAGTACTGTAGGTAGACACTAGCTGACTGCCTAAAACTGAACACTGTTGACAGTCACAAAGTTGGAAACAAGTAAAAACAAATAGTGGTTACGGGCCCTGTAAAATTGCTCTGTGTGCCCTCCTCCAATGCCAGCCCTGCCAGTATTGCCCAGCCCCAGGCCTGCTTAGCTTCTAAATTCTAAAGGATGCAAGGTGGATTTCAGAAATGTGTTGTATTTCTTTGCAGAAGTGTAGATGAGAGGTCTACTGTGAGAATGAGCGCTCGGAGGGAGAGACCCACATCTGGCAACGCATACATGGGAATCAGAAGGTAACAGCGTCTTCTCATGCCTCCAGAAAACAATTACAAAGACTTGTACTGTGACAGTGAGTCATCCTACAGCCCTGGAAATGCATTGAAATGCATTTGAGAACATCCAATGAAATACAGTTTTAAAAGTGCACTTATATTTTAAGAAAACGTTGATTTATGTTTATACTGTATATAGTGGCCCCCAAATGTATTTATAACCTTGAAGGACTACGACTTAAAGTTGTTTAAGCATAAATATCCAGGAGTGCATTCAATATTCCTTTGTAAGAAGAAACCAAAAACTAAAGTATTTTATAACTTTTAATGTTTTATGGACAAAAGGAACATTAGTCAAGAAAGGATGTACAGTATAAAATTTCAAAATGTATGATGTCAGGATGTAATCATGCCCCAGCAATTGGAGATTAGATAAGGTAAGAGCAATTGGAGATAAGATAGTGATTTAAGAAAAATAATTGTTTCTCACATATGCTGCACAAGACAGGGAAATTGTGTTTTGCTGGCCTATCTACTGTAGATAATGCAATTTCTGAACATGGTATAATAAGTAAACCATACAGCCTAAAAGCCTGATTCATTTTCATATTAAGAAAGATGTTTTGCTTGTGTGCTGTGGAGAACAGCACCTTAGTTTTTGTCGTATTTATATATTACAGAGCTAAATAATCTCATTGATGTCAGTTGGGAGTTTTATTTCTTTTTTATCATGAAATTACAAGGGCTGTTAACCGCAATGATGAAGGCACTCATGGGGCTGTTACAGTGTCTGAGTGCAGGTTTTATTGTGTAAAAACTCAATTTCCCCATCAATCTTAAGTAATGGTATAGGAATTCAGAAATAACAATGCCATTAAGCATAAATTTAATACAATTCATTGCATTAATGTCACATTTTCCATTGTTTAGATCAGTCAGACTGAACACAGCTACTAAGATGTTGTTGCCCAGTATGAACACCCTACTGTCAAATGTGTTTGAAGTGAGAAACCTAGTTTAGTGTTTCCTAAAATCAATAGAACCAATTGTTCACTATCTATAATTTCTGATTTCAACATTTTTTTAGTATATGGTCTGTGGATAGTTTTTTCAGTTAAATTGTGTTGTAAAAGGTTTAAGATTCAAGGTTTAATTAGAACAACCAAAGTGGAAAATAAAGAAGGAGAATGTTAAAATTATCATATAAACAAGGGATATAATCTGTACCATTAATCTCATTTTAGACTGAATTCAGAATTGATCCCTTTTTTTCTCTTCTTTTTCAGTAATCGTCGAGTTTCAAGGTATGATGTAATGTATCTTCCCAGCATTTGAATTCATGCGTCAGACATTTATTTTGTTTCTATGTTTTTCTTGACTCCTTGTTTCATTTGAGTTGGGACTTCTTTCATATCTATTACAGCCCTGTCAAAATTGCACAGTTCGAAGCCCACTTCACCAAACTGCAGGCTGATTCCAACTATCTTCTCTCTGAGGAGTACGAGGTAAAATGTAATTCTGTGTGACACACTGACTTGCCCCCTGTCTTTACTCAGTACCTCAGATATTTATTATCAAAAAGTAATTATTTTAATCCATTAAACATACTGCTTTCCCTTCAGGACCTGAAAGATGTTGGTCGTAACCAATCCCTTGACACAGCACTTTTACCTGAGAACAGAGGCAAAAATCGATACAACAATATACTACCCTGTAAGTTTTATTCCTGTTTATGTGTGTAATAACTCCCTTCAGTGTCTGTGTGGTGAAGGTCCAGGACCACTGTGATTATGTATGAAATAAGGTTTATAATTTACCTTATGAAACTTTTATTCATGAAAATGAATAAAACAACATGTATGTTTTCTGTTTAGAGAAACAACATCATATTGAGAATAAGAATATAACTTGAATTCTTATATGCAGATTCAATTTGTCTGTGAAACAGCATAAATGTGATTTGTTCAAAGTATTATTATGATTTTTCAGGTTTTAGCGTAATGTGTAGAGCTTGGTGCAATGTGATGCTAAACATCTTGTCATTTGCACACGTCCCTGTAAAGCATTAAGCCTGTGATTATAACATCTTGTGCAGTAGTTATGAAGGGATTATGAGTTATAATGCCATTATGAAGTGGCAATTCAATTTTTCAGTATGTGTATTTTAAATGTAAACAAATGGACAAATAGAATTATTTTTGTGTCCTATGTATAATTTATTCACTTAATAGTATTAGTTGTACGTTACATTGAATTGAAGTCTATTACAATGCATTTCATATTCATTAGAAAATCTTTGTTTAGAGCAAATCTCTTCATAGCTGCCAATTAGGTAGAAATGTTGTCAACAGTTTGTCCCCTTTGTTTTACATGAATAGGAGAAATAGCAATGAATATTTTCCTAAAAACAAAAAGAAAGGAGAAAACAAATGTTCCAGCAGTGTAGCCTTTTTCAAAGTGTGTTATCTTTGTAAAATATGTTAACTGTACAAGGTACTTTACACAACTGAAATTGATATTAACTAAATAACAAAAAAAAAATAATGATGATGATATTGTTTAACTTGATTTACCAGATGATAAAAAAATGCTTTGAAACCAAACTTCTCCAAACCCTGGAAGAGCTTACATCTTTATTTTCCTTCCCACTAGTTATCGTGTATCCATTCTTAGTCATGTTAACATTCTAAGAAGGGTGTCTGTAACACTAAACCATCCCAGATTAAGTCCCCATGCTGGCACCTTGGCAAATTTGCATTTGATTGCATTACTCGCCTTCTTTATAAACAAGAAATAAATCAGCTCTTTTGCAAATCTATCCCAGCGTTGTTTAACATTGACCCATTTCTGTTTCACTTTCCAGATGACTCGACCAGAGTGAAGCTTTCCTATGTCGATGACGATCCATGCTCTGATTACATCAATGCTAGTTACATACCGGTATGTTCATTCAGGGGCCTCTACAGTTTTTCTTGCACCTACTGTATATTCTTTCCTGATTTGTCAAATTTCTGTTCTCTGTTTCACCTCATTTCTGAAATCATACTACAGTACAAAAGAGCGATAATAGATAAGATAAGAAAAAAGATAAGACAACAAGACTAATGTTTTATATCAATGATTGTCCATCATTACTAGTTAAATTGTGATAAGAATGTACAGTAGGAAAGGTAGGATCGAATATACTCAAGAATGTATCAAGAATGTTACTATAAACATAGGTACAGTATATATTTCTAAATGAAAACCCTGAAACTATGCTAAAAATAAATGTTGCAAATGTAATCAACTGGTGTTTTTAAGTTATCTGGTGGTTTCAGAAAGTTTACAGAAGTTTATGAAAGTCACCTTCATTGCCATTTGGTAATATACAGTAGGAGGCAGAATACAGAACACAAAACAGTCAGTATCACATCATAAAGGGGAACATTAGGGAATTGTCCCAATATCAGACCACATATGAAAAGTAGTTTGAGAAAACCATGAAGCGACTGGATGGTGGGAACTCACTCAAGGTTATTTCTTCTCACCTCACTGGACACCTGCTTAGCAGGAAATACTGCTGCTGATTTGTCCGAGTGAAAGAGATTGCGAATAGGGTCTTCCTTATCAGTCAGGGCCAAGGATACTGAAGAAATCAGGAACTCGAGCTCAATACAGAGCTTCTTTTAAACCTCAAATGAAGCAACAGTTTGGTACAGTTCTCTGACTTGCAGTCTCCTGTTGTGCCTCTCCTGTTTCACAGAGCCACTGTGATATTTCCATCCATCCATTTTCTAATCGGCTCTTCCAAATCAGGCTCGTGGGGGAGCCAAAGCCTATCCTGGCAAGCAACAGGTGCAAGGCGGGATACACCCTGGACAGGACTCCAGTCTGTCACGGGGCAGACATACACTCACACACTCGCACCTAGGGCCAGTATTGACAGTTCGAGGCAACAGGGAGGAAAATCACACACAAACAGGGGAAACATATAAACTCCAGGGAGGTAGCACCTGAGGAATTGAACCAAGAGACCAAGCACTGCAGGGCAGCCATGCTGACAACTGTGCCACCAACCCTGTGAGTTTTATTCCTGCAAAATGATTAAGTTTAATCTTTTTGGTTCATTTCAGGGCAACAATTTCCGGAGAGAATACGTTGCCACACAGGGCCCTTTGCCTGGAACAAAAGACGACTTCTGGAAAATGGTTTGGGAGCAGAACGTTCACAATATTGTAATGGTGACTCAGTGCTTAGAAAAAGGAAGGGTGAGTACAGAGGCCAGCCCTTTGGTATTGCTTGTGTTCTGTGTCAGTTTTGAAGAACATTGCCAAACATTTGAAAAGAAAAAAAGGTTAAATGTCAAAAGCTGTTGTACTGATAAAATGTCAGAGAGATTTTCAAGTGCCTTTCTTACAGCTGTCACAAAGTATAATATGTCTGTCCCTGTCTCTGAAATATGGTTTCTCTCTTGCCTCAATGTACCATCTGTGTGTCTCAAAGGGATGCTATTATTTTCATTGTGTTTCATCCTTTGTTTAGGTGAAGTGTGATCATTACTGGCCATTCGATCAGGATCCATTATATTATGGTGATCTTGTTGTTCAGATGCAATCAGAATCTGTCTTGCCAGAATGGACTATCCGCGAGTTCAAAATATGTAGTGTAAGTGTACATTTCTCTAAAAGATATTATTAGCCAAGAGTTTATTGCAAAAGGAGCTTATAAAATAACCTGTTTTTCCAGAAAAACACTTGTTTCAGGAAAAAACAAATTTGTTATGTAAAGTTTGTTCTTGTGATAATATCTGGCATATTTGTTTTATATTTTTAATTAATGCAATTTACATGAGCAGTTTGTTTAACAGCAGCCAAGCTCAATGTGTCTCCGCTGCCGTACCTCCTAATAATTCCTGACATATTTTCCTAGATTTAAAAAAATATTATAGTTAGTATATATTGACAGGGCCCTGTCCTTCACTTTCATCTTATTCTTGGTTCCTCTATCCTGTTATTCACCTCTGCAGCTGCCCCTTGATTAACCCCTCACTCTGAATGGGGTCCTGTCTTCCGTCTTCTGTGTCCAGGAGGTTGGCCCTCAGCCAAGCAGGCTGAGACAAATCTTACTATGACTAAACACTCAACCATTTTCCAGTACATTTAATTTCATTCTTGGCTGTTGTTATTCCTTGTGAAATGCTGTTTTCTTCAGTGCTTTGAGTTTACACATATTCTTATCAAACTAAGCAACCTCTTTTACATACTTATATCTCAGTTTGTATTCCTTCATTCTTGAAAGATGGTTATGCTGTAAATGTTAGCGACTACCAGCCTTGTTTTTTCCATAGCTGCCTCAAACAGGAGTTTATGTATTTCATTTCCCTTGGCAGGCTTCCAGTTAAACGCCTTTGTTCACCTTTTCTGATTACCGTACTCCAGGACCTAGCATGACAACATTATTTTTGAGGACTGCTTGCTACAGGACTATAGCATACTCCATAATTATAGCACAATTGGAGCCAATAAAGGCCAAAAAGTTGTGATATAACTTATTAACAGCTTAACTCATAAATACAGTTTGTTATTTCTAACCTAGATTTATACAGTATATTTTAGTGACAACTGACTATTAATGAGACAGTCCGGTGGTCTAAGTCCCATCTTGTACCCTCTGCTCCAGCTTGTCGCTCATCTCACAAGGGTAAACTGCTTCAGAACCTAAGAAAGGCTACAAATGAGAGGAGACCATGTAGACCGTATATAGTTAGTAGCTAACTGAGCTGCTGATGATTAATAGTGGAGATTAAGTGGTTGATGTGTTTTTGTAAGGGGAGATTACAAACCTAATGTTGAAAGAAAAAGGAATATAATTTTTTTAGAGGGAGGTTTTAAAATCCCACTTGAATGCCAAGCAGTGAGGAGCAGGTTTATTTTGTTCAGGTGTTCTTACAAAGCACTTCATAAATTGTTAGCTGTGAGAAAATAACTCTTCAAACAAAAAGGTAGGCTGACATCGCTGAACTCTTCTTCTATCCAGGAGGACCAGGTGAATTTTTCTCGGGTAGTGCGACACTTTCACTACACAGTGTGGCCTGACCACGGCGTCCCAGAAACGACGCAGTCGTTGATCCAGTTTGTGAGGACTGTGAGGGACTACATCAACCGGACTCCAGGCTCGGGGCCTTCAGTTGTGCACTGCAGGTGAAAGATCAGTAAAGGCTATATCTCATAAACCACCTTTTCTCATGCTTGACTAAGGCACCTTTATGCTTTCTGTTTACTTTGAAGTTGTACTATTTCCTTTTAATTGTACTTGTTTCAGTGTTTGACTTTTTAAATTTGCATTTTGCTGTATTTTATATCTCTGAGTATTTAAATTATACCATTGTGTTGACCTGTATTGTGTTAAATTGTACTACTGTGTACTTTATATGCCTTTACGAAGCAAGTAAATAATATGGCCATCATGGCAGTACTGCATCGCGCTTGTCTGGCCTGTGAAGGGAATGAAAATTACACAGCTCAGCGGAGTCAGGGCAATGATATTCATTTTTAAACACCCCAGCAAGGTTTTTCCATTTTTGCCAAGTAGCTATACACTATTTATAGTATTTGAAATATATATTTTTTGTATTTATATTTTATACCACTGTGTGACTATGGAGAATAATGTTCAAGTATGCGTAGGCTGCAACGAAACAAGTAAATGTTTATTCCATGCTGAAAAGAGAAGGAAAGAAACATAGCGTTTCAGCTGTGAAGCCTTCTTCAGGTGTCTCCAAAACCAGGAACACCTGAAGAAGGCTCCTCAGATGAAACGTTATGTTTCTTTTCTTCTCTTTTCAGCATGGAATAAACCGTTACTTGTTACTATGGAAAACAATGCCTTTTGTTTTTAAAGCCTACACTGACTTAAGTAATCCCGTTAGAACAGCTGAAAACCGTGCACCACTTTTACCAGATTTTAATTTATGATTAAGTAAAGTGCAAGTGATGGATGTTTTCAATACAATAGAATGTCAGGTAAATCTAGATATCAGTATGACATTTTCAGGTCATCTAAGGGCTTAGAAAAAAATTATCTTCTGTCACATAGCTTGCTTATAAATGTTGTTTATGTACCCAGTTAAACCTCTTATTTGTGATGGATAGATTAGGCTAGCATTCAGTCATCTCAGTCATCTCAGAGTATTATCAATTTTAAGCTCATGAATGTCTCTTGTGTCATTCTTACTGTTTGCTTTGGCTCACAGTGCTGTAGCAGACTGAGGTTCTAAATTGTACAAACTGTAATACATACTCCAATTGCCAATTGTGCATACTGTACTAAATACTCCAATTGCCAAACAAGAGCAGAAGAGAGAAAGGATAACTCCGATAGTCATAACAGTACTGCCGCACTCTTAAAAAGTGACATTAGCACATTAGTTTTCAATTCAGCATTGCATTTTCACCCTGAACAATGAACACAAACATTTTAGTTCAGCAAAAGCAAGGAATCACTTGCTCTGCTAAAGGCGACAGTTCACTGCGGCTTCTTTCTTATACTCTCTATAGCTGTGCCTGATGTGTCTTGCTTGGTGCTCTCTCCAGGCTGTATATCACATCAATGAATATGATCCCTTGGATCTTGGTTTTGAACTCAGTAATGTCTTGAAATTCTGTTCAGATGTTAGCCAGTGTTCTTCTTCAGTGTTTTTCCTCTAATGAGCAGAAATCAGGTACTTTTATGTAACCTGTGCTTCTGATCAAAACCAGAGCTCTGAATGTGCAGCAATGTCATTTTCTTCACTTGAACTTCTCAGACAGCATCTCCTTGTTTCCTTTTATTTTAGTACAACAGGAAGTTTTATTCTTTGTGTGAAGGTGTTTCCATATTAACTTGCTGTAACCAAAGCATTTTAACTGTGTCATGTTAATTCCAGCTGTAAATGACAATTCTGCCGCCTTCTAATTTCATTCTGCAGAAAACTTTATTTTCCCTTTTTAGTTGCTTGTCAAAATTGGTCTAATACTTGTGAACTAGAATTTGGGTCTAGATGACACAAAAAGCCAAACTTCCTCCCAAGAAGAGATGTACAAAACTACAGTATGTGGAAGCATCTGGATTTTTTTTCCCCAGGGATGCAATGCTATTTAGCATCCAAATTGAAATTGATGAGCATTATATCCAAAAGTTGCTTTCTTGCCTGCTCAGCTTTGACCTTTAAGCAGAGGACATTGCATCTTTTAAATGATCTACTTATTGATGAGTTTGCTGTTTGTTATTTTGTCTGTTGGGCAGTGCTGGAGTTGGCAGAACTGGCACATTCATTGCCTTGGACAGAGTCCTCCAGCAGCTGGACACCAAGGATACCGTGGATATTTATGGCTCCGTCTTTGATCTGAGGCTTCACCGGGCCCACATGGTGCAGACAGAGGTAATTTATGTTCTATTTCAATCAAGCATAGATGATTTCTTAGTACTTCTTAGTTTTTTCAAATCAAGTTCAGAACAGTTTCTTCAGGTCTGTAGGTTACAAGCTACAGTATTGCAGGAAGGAAGGTTGGAGTGTTTGCATGTTTTGGTCTCTAACAAATCTCTTAATGTCCTAAATCAGCTTGTTAGCAGCTTAATAGCCAGGTTCTTAGAAAATGCGCGCTCACCAGCCCTTCCACACCAGAGTTAGATTACCCTGGGATAATGTGTTCCAACAACACATCTGTTAAGTTTGGATTTTTGAACTACCCTTTTTTTAAAGCTAATAACAAAATAATCTGTTCTCCAGACATATTGTACATGTTTTCTTTACATGAACACAGTCCAAAGGAGAATAATATTGAAGTGAAAATGTAGGCAAACACAGAAAAAGCATTGTAGTGTAACAGAACGCAATGATCCTCAGCCAGATAATGCGTTGCCTTTTAATTTGACCCATCAACTAATCATTTGATCGACACAGTTTCAGTGTTGCCATTAATAAGATTAAGGTTAGTGTGCTCTGCATATTGTGATCTGATGCACAGCAGGTCATTTAGAACAGGCTTCAATGGAGACTTCAATCTCCCTCTTGCAGTGCCAGTATGCCTACTTACACCAGTGTGTTAGAGACGTGCTGAGGGCAAGGAAGCTACGAAATGAACAGGAAAACCCACTCTACCCAATCTACGAGAATGTCAACCCTGAGTATCACAGAGGTAAGACTGACGCTTGTCTCATACTCACCATCTCTCCATCTGTGAGGCTATGGGAGGTGCCTGTGACATAAGATGAGGGGGTTAGCTCAGCCTCTTTACAATTCAGAGCACAGATAATTCATTAATAATAATAATTGCTAACACTTATGTAGCCCTTTTCTGGACACTCCACTCAAAGCGCTTTACAGGTAATGGGGACTCCCCTCCACAACCATTGTGCAGCACCCACCTGGATTAAGTGACGGCAGCCATAGTGTGCCAGTACGCTTGCCACACCTCAGCTATCAGTAGGAATAGAACAGAGTGATGAGCTAATTCATAAATAGGGATTGTTAAGAGGCCATTTATTGATAAAGGCCAGTGGGAAATTGTGCCAGGACACCAGGGTAAAACCCCAACTCTTTTCGAGAGATGCCCTGGGATTTTTAATAACCACAGAGAGTCAGGACCTCAGTTTTACATGTCATCTGAAGGACGGCACCTTTTTGCAGTATAGTGTACCCGTCACTATACTGGGGCATTTGGACCCACATGGACCGCAGGATGAGCACCCCCAGCTGGCCCCACTAACACCTCTTCCAGCAGCAACCTTAGTTTTTCCCAGGAGGGCTCCCATCCAGGTATTGGCCAGGATCAAAGAAGAGTGTTTCTTGAAGTGTTGATCTTTATATAAATTGCCCACCAGATCGTATCTCCTCTGGACAAGGAGAAATAGCTACAATGGAAAGTCTTATTTCCACAACTCACCAACCAAGCAGAGTGAATCTATCAGCTCAGTTAAATGTCTTGATTTTCTGCCCAGAGTTTGGTAAGCCTGGACCGCACGGTGGCGCAGTGGTTAGCACTGATGCCTCTAAGAAATTGAGCCCTAGGTTCAATTTCAGGCCCAAGGGTACTATCTGCATGGAGTTTGTATGCACTCCCTGTGTTCCTGGTGCTCCGTTTTCCTTTCACAGTCCAAAGACATAATGGTAGATTCTGGGAAAACAGGCCATTGTGTGAGCGTATCTGTGTTCGTGTCTGTGTTTTCCAAGCAATGGTAACACAGGTCTGGGTCCAGGTGTACCCTGTCTTACACCCGTTGCTTCCTGGGATAGGCTCCAGCTCCCCCGCGACCCTAAATTGGAGGAAGCAGTTAAAGAATAGATGGATGGAGTTTAGTCAAATGCTGTAATCTGAACGGTGTCAAAATTATATACTTCCAGCATGTCATTTCATTGTGTAAACTCTTGTGTGGCTGAAACAGCTACTTAGATTAGTGAATCACCGGAGTTAAGAGACCTAGACAAACAAAGGACATACTGTACTAGACCAGGAGTATTCAAGTAGCCCCTTCCACTTGAGCTCATTAGCAGCTCTGTCAATCTTGTTTTGAATTAGTTAAATAAATAAGGAGCTGGTAGTTGCAAAATTTGTGATGGAGTAGACTGGATGGTATGAAGGTTAAGATGTCCTGTAATGAGTACAACAAGCGAATAATGAGCTGCAGATGGGAATGATTCCTTTAAGGAGCCATGCGGGACATTATTTATTCCAACACAAACCATTCTGCTTTGCTATGCCGGGCTTCGTGTTGCATTGGTGTCATGCATACTCTTTGTATCCAGACTTTTTATAAACTCTGGCATCATCCATTTCTTGATTGAAGTGGTGTAAATTTAAATTTGTCATTCAAATACTGTTAATCTGCTGCTATGTACTGTGACACCCCTAAATATTTAAGGGATATAGTTTTGCTTCACCTCGGTTATTACTTTATTTAAAGGTATCGATATGTTCACTTTCCTAAAACCCTTACTTTAACATTAACAGTCCTGTTTGTTTTTTCTTTAGATATGGTGTACACAAGACGCTAAAGAATGTAAGGGCTGCCTCGATTCTGAGTGAAGATAAAACCCCTCTACTGACTCCCTTTCCAGTTTTCACAGTCAAAGCTCTGCAGGGACACACAGCAATTTATTTTTTACAGTGTTTATACATTTTAAGATTGTTTATATTTAAATATTATAGAGAGTATTGTATATACTTGCATAAATGAATAATATTTATGTAAATATGTATTTTTTCATGTTATTCCTATACCAGTGTTATGTTTATTAAAGCACATAAGCTATTCTGTTATTTGCACACTATTGTTAAATCTAGCAATGTCAAAGCCGATTCTGAAATGTTTTGGAATGCATTGGTTCTGGTGACCTCATCAAGGAAATGCATCCGCAAGTGCGATTGATCTGACATTACTCTCAAGAATGCGTTATGAAATTACAGTAAAAAAACAAAGTACAGTTCAACTGAAATTTTGAAAGTTCTTCTGAAGAACCTCCTCTGATTCTTTGAAACATTTGCAAAAAACTAGTAGTGCAGAAGAATAGGATAACAACAGGAGCATATTGACCCAGTTTAGCTAATGTGTGGTGCCCTGTTTGGAGTATACAACATACAGTTCTACTGGTCTTTGACTATTGAGAATAGTTCCAAGTAAATTATGAATTCACTTCATGATTCTATTTAAAAAAATATAAACCAAGCTGGAATGCAAACAATTACTTCCAGGAAACTCTGTGTTGACTGGTTTGTACAGTATAGCCCACAGGAATTATTTTGGAAAACACAACTGCACAGTGGTTTCTGGAGAGTAAAAAAAAAAAACAACCCCCTTTTTCTCTGACAAGTCTACTCACAGTCTGTTCAGAGCAGGGAATCGCCTTTCTTCATCGGGGAAGACTGCGTAGCTCAAGATATGAAAAAAGTTGTTTTTATTTTGTCCAGTAGGTCAAATAATCAAATACGAGTTCTCAAAACTTCAGAGCCCAGTTACACAGAACGTATATATTTAGACAGCATTGCTATATTCCACCTGCTTCTGAAGGCCAGAGCTCTGTCTGTTAACAAAGAAAAGTCATTATCAAGAAGATGTTTCCCTTCTTGCATTGCTGCATACAGTGCAGATAAATCCACTCAACTACTCTTTCAGTTTGAAGCAAGCAGTTAACATTTTAACACTCTAGTCCTTCTCCACTAGTAGATCGGTTTTTGTTTATTCTTTCCATTCTGGTTTGTTCATTTCCTTGGACAAAAGACTACAAAACATAATAGTTGATCCATTATCGTTGGAACGTGAAGTTAATTTTGAAGTTGAACTAGACACTATTAAGCTGTGCTTTTACATTTTTCATCAAGAAGCTTATTTAACCCATTTCCAGGTTTCTAACCTGGATCGTGATACTTTGTTTAATCAGTCTTCCAAAGTATTTAATATGTATCTCAGACAAGGCCAGCCTTCATTGCATTTTTAGAAAATGTCCTCAACACAGCTTACATCTGCACTGCACTAACCATACACACAAGACAGGAATCAGTTTTGACCACGAACCCTCACAGCACAGGCCACATAATACTACCAGCAGCAGAAACATGGGACTGTGTCATCTGCATATACAGAACAAGTTTTGCACATTTTGATATGGAATATACATTTTTAAAGTGTAAATTTAAAAATTCTTGTAGGGAAAATACTACAATACAAAATACTACACAAAAATTGGTGTTCTTAATGAATCCTCTCACCATACAAAGAAATTAGGTTATGGCATTCTGTTTCTCTGTTTATTACCAACCAGGATAGCTAAAGCTTTCAAAGCAATGTAGATTCTTCTGTTACAGTGGTTACATTTGAGTGTTAAATTTGAGGGGCTGATACAGAAGTATAGATTTGTATATTATGCTAATTAAAAGTGTGTTAAATCTTGGCGATTAAGTGTTAAATTACATTTTAAAAATAAGTATTGCACAAAGAATCAAATCACAGAAAAATATGTTTTAAATCATTTGCTGTTGATTTAAACATAAAGCACTAAAACTAAGCACATCTAAAATGCAGGTGGGACTGAAAAAGGGCTGTGGAGGGCTTTACAAAAGTTTAGAAAGTCAAAGAATATTTAAAACATTTGACCTTCAGCTACTGTCTTATAACGTGCTTTGTATTTTCATTACCAGGAGCAAAATTAACTTCTCTTATCTTGAGCTCTGTCTGCTCCAATTCAAAATTGCAATTTCCTTGAATAGGACTGGTAACGTCATGCACTGTATCATTTTTCAGACATCGGTGCCTCTTTTGAAGGGTGTGTTGAATCTTTATGGCGTTTGTCCTCTCCTGTTTGCTACAGTTCAGTGTAGTTCTTAATTTCGTTGTTAGGTATTTATGTAAACAGCTGGCACACTCAGGATGGTCCTCAGAAATGAATATAAGAGCGTTATGTAGCATAACTTTGAACTGTTATGATGTTTTCCAGGTTTGTGACTCCTGTTGTATCATTTTTTGGTTCTTAAGACATGTAGCAGAAATACAGTACATATAGCTTTCAAAAGATATTGTGTTACATAATTCTTTATGCAATTGTATTGCAACCATCTATGCAGGTTGGGTTATTGGAAAATATAAGCCTGCTCTAAAATTAAAGTGCATTAATAGCTATTTTTGTGTAAAAGCAATGAGGAATGCAGGCATAAGCTTGATGATCTGCTACAGAAAAATGTTACTGTTGTAATACATTGTATTTGCTGCTGTTTCAACCCATGCCGTATCATATTTTTATGACAAAAATCTTGACCAGCAATATTGATTTAATTGTTTGCAGCATCAGGTGTCACATAGGCTTTGCTATAGTGTGGTTTCAGCTGTGGAGTGTTCTTCGAGTGTGAGGAACCCTTCTGCTCACGCCCGAAGGAGGATCTCCAACCAAAACATTGTGTTTCCTTTCTTCTCTTTTCAGCATGGAATAAACCTTTACTTGTTCCTTTGCAGCCTACACATGCTGACACAGCCGCCTACTTGAACTACTATAGTATCTATTAAGACTATTATCTATTTAGAATTCAAGTAACATCAAATCATATTGCCCCTGTATAACAGGTTAAAACTTTAATGCAGTGCTTTGTAGTTAATGCTGCAGTTTGAGAACAAAAAGTAGCTAACAGATTTGACTAACAATCAATTGACATCAGCTGCTGGAGAATTCACTGCAATAAAAGTTTGGATCAGAAAGAAGAGAGAGAATTGTAATGCACTATGCTTAGTCTTGCAGGACAAACACAGCAGCAAAGCAGGTGATACCTTCCGCCATTCCACCATGTTAAGAAAAACCATTATATGCTGGAGAAAAGCTGTTAAAATATTAAGTTTTTGTAGTTCTACTCTCAATCTTGGTATATGCACTGGGTTGCACATTGTGCTGCATACTGTGTACATGAGCTTTGAAATTTCATATTGTCTGTACTGTTAGAAAAGGGCGTTGAGACCATTTATATCTAATCAGTTTTGAATTAGTAATGACATACATTGGTATTTGGTAGAAAATTTGCTCCCTTAGCTAACAAACCTTTCAAAATTGATACAATATTGCTTATTTTGAGTGTTAAAATATTGCCTTTGTGGATAGGTTGCGCAGTGTTTCTTCAAAACATACATTTTATGTTATATGTAGGAAGACAACAAATCTTCCTAATGAAACAATCTATGTATGTTACATAAGTGCCAGTTCTCATTTATATGTTCTATGAATGTATTTAATTAAAGTTTTACACATTATAAATTGTGTTGTTTTGTGTTTTCTCAAAATGGTCTTTCTTGCCAGCACACTATAAATCGTGTCGCGTTGTCCAATTCTTTTCTTCCTTTCAAGGACTCATGAAATAATAAAAAATGAAGAAAATAACTTGGTATCAAAAGTTCCCAAGCTCAGAGCCATGAAAGGGGGATGAGTTGTGTCATTTTGCCTTTCTGGATACGATCGTGGTTGTATAGACAAGAGTATCAATTCACAAGTTCAGTGCGGCCGGGTCATAAAAATGAGACCTTAGTCAGATTGTGAAGCTGTTGATGTTGTCCAGCCCTTGATTAGAATTTCTTTGTTTGGTCTTCATGTTACAAACATGGGGGATTTTAATGAATCCTTACAGCAGTGTTTTACAGTAGTTCTGTGGCAAAAGCTTTTTTTTTTAATCTTTAAAGGCCTGTGCACTGTACTGAAGCTTCTAGTTCAGACTGCTGCTGTCATCTCCCCATTATGCTCCAATTTCTGGATCTTCTTTTATCATCTTCATCCCTTCAATTCTCTGCTGAACAGGTGTTATTATCTGGCTTTTCAGAAATTGAGATTGGATTTTAAAGCTCAGCTTACCTCTCATAACCTTTTGCAGTACTGTGTCCTTGAAATGTTCAGCATTGTCTATCTTCTTTGGTTTCTTTCTGCTCCTTAAAATCACAAAAGGCTTACCGCTTTGGTCTCAACAGCGTTATTCAAAGTTATACAAGTTTCCGGTAAAGTTAGCCATGGCTATTATTTTTAGTTTCTCTGTCCATTTAGCAGCTTCCGAGAGGAATCTGCTACAAGCAGGCCTGTGGGCTGAACCCAATCACCAAGCTACTAAGACACAAGGGTATCAGAGTTTCATCTACACTTTGTCTATTTCTGCTCCATTTTCTATTGATCATGTATGTTCTCCTGCAGCTCCAACCTCTTTGTGCTTATTTTGAAATGTGCTATCCATATATATATTTTTTT